TTTTACCTGACCCGACAATATACAGGAGGTTACGAATAATATTTTTCATTATCCATTTCACTCATCTTCTAACAGTAACGTTCATACTTTACATCACTCGAGAAGTAATGAAGTTGTATACATCACGCTTGGGATAGGGAAGTTTAACATGGCGGGTTAGGTAAAAACACGGTAAAAATAAAACAACTGTCTATTGTTCAATTTGCATTCAAAGACGTGGTTGTAAATTTAAACTACTTTACTGAGAAGAGTTTCGCAAAGAAAGTTGGTCTATCGAGAATATTTTAGTTGCTTGAATATAGTGTAAATTTGAAACGGTTATGTATGATTATATATTCCACTGTAAGACAAAGTAATGCTCGTATTGTCTCCTAAATAATTGAAACTACTTAATTTCATTTTCAGCCCTATATAAAAATAACGTCTAACTAAAATAGCTTTCAAATGAGTTGCAAATATACGTTATTCGAAACGAATGTGAGCGAACGAGCGAGTGAAATAATCAGAGAATCAGACGGAGCATTAAACCCCAAATTCCGAAGAGTGACTTTTAATGCTTTTCAGGTCACAGAGGTCAGTCCAGACCGGTACGTATCCCAACATATGGACACAGTAGATACTGTGACGTCATTACGGTCGAAACAGCTGGGCGGTAAAAGAATTGGCATACAGCAATACAATGCATTCAGAGTAGTTACAGTTTTTCATTGCAAGTTGAATTTGTTGTATTTCTATAAAAAATAACTACTATCTCAAAGACTCCAACTTACAGATCATCTTAAACCATTGTACACTCATCCACAACTCATATTTAGGTTAAAATAAGCACCTAGGTGGCGTCCCCATCTCAATTGATAATAATAACAATAATGATAAAATTCGTTATTGTAATAATATTTACCTTTTCTTAAATGTTTACACAGCATAGACAATAATTATTAACTAGAGGTCGTCTAATGGTCGAAAACCCGACCAAAAATATGTAATGTACAGAATTCTCTATTTCCACCCCACACTGTAAATAAAACATGTGATTGCAATTTCTTCAATTTATTTTGATTTTCTGTTTATATTGCGTTGTTATTTCGTCACCAGCATGGCAACCCATATAAGGCCCATGTTGATTTTAAAAAAATTTAAATTCATTTTTTGTGCTTATTTTGGAGCCTATTTTAATTTACGAAGGGATCTGCACATCTACAGGAAAATATCTTTCCAACAGAATGCGTAGATTTTCCCTGCGATGCACACGAGCTCAGAAAAAAGGTTTTAAAGAAACGTGCTTGCCTATTAATATATAGATTGGTATGTGATTACGATACTCATCTGAAGATTTTTTCTATTTAATTCAACAATTATTAACGATTATTGATTAAAAAAGTGCGTCAAGGTGTATGGAGAAAGTATCATTCCGAGAACATACCAAGGAACCGCCATACATACAGGTGATCCTAATAAAGGTGGATAAAGGTGGATAAAAAGGTGGACAGGTGGATCCTACTGTAAATAAAACAACAATAGTTTGTAGACTCCAAATTTGGATACTAAAAGTCAATGTCTTCACAGCCAGATAAGAGTAACTATCGATGATGAGTCTTGATTAATAATCAACTAATCAATCGTTATGACAGAGATCCCACAGCAGCAGAGTCATGTTTCATTGCATTTTGTGTTCAAGAATTGGCATTGTAGTACATCCCCATGTAGTATTAGGCCTACATGAGTTATTATAAGGGTCAAAGATTTAGTCGAATCATCGATTTAGTCGATTTAGTAGATTATGTACGAGAAGATGTATTTAAAATCTTAATTTTATGGCCAAAAAACGAAAATTGAACAAAAAGAATTGTTTTTCAGCGTTTACGCATATTGATTTTTTACTAATAAGAACTGAAGTTTAAATTCAGAGACTGATAAAGTTGAAGATTCGTCCAAAGACATCGGAATGCATTTCGCCAGCGGTCACGGCTGGCTGGGTGGGAACTTATTTTATATTCCTCCAAGGCCTGTGAGTCATTGTTCCTTGTAAAACTCTGGCACGTCCATTCCGTGGTCTTTGGCGGCGACGTTAACATCCTCACCGACGGAGGGGCTTCCAAAAACGAATACACGCAAACGAATATCTACTAATTTTTAATAAAAAACCCTCAATTACTTTACTGTTAGTAAACAAATTCCTGCTGCTGCTGTAAACAAATTTCTGTTGGGAATCAAATTCCTCATAACTCCTACCAGTCCTGATATTATTGCTGCCGACAAAAATGAGCTGCGTCGTTTGAGAGGTGCCCTTAGGCGTATGATCAACCATCCATCTTCGACGTATTCGAATGGCAGAGCAACAATGGTGGAATTAGAAACAATGCCAAATCATGATGGCAGTGACCTTTGCGTTCACTCAATCTTAGATTAGAGCTGGTGTACGATAGAAGCGTCCGTTAACATTTTTGTTTGAATCATAAATGGTATTATTTTTTTGACCCTTCTCTTTTTAAGATCGTGTGTTAGCTTATAATATGAGAAATACCGATTGCTCAATTCGGGAAAATAAACATGTATTTGCTGATAAATATAACACTTAATCTAACCGATGACGTTTCACTTGATATGCTAATCGGAATCATTTTTATTTCCTGCACATTCATGATTTCATGTCACAAATTGTACCTCATCGAAAATATATTCCAAGAAACTGTAACAAAATAAGCGATTGAGTAGAAATTCCCCCTGGAGTAGATGGATTTGATCTTCAACTCTAACTAAAAGCTGTACGAGAATTTCCCACATTAGTGACGTGTTTCCGGTTTCGCTGAAGTGCCTCTTTGATTGCGTTGTTAGCCATTGTTTGTGCGACAATATTTGTCAGGCCGTGCTTTTGACCTCGTGACCGCCGCACCTCTTGGTCTTCTCATCTATATTCCGTCCTCACAACACACTATGGGGCTATTCATTTTGGGATAACCCAATTTTCTAACCTCCACTCAGCTTTGTTTTACATTTGTTTGGCCATACTTAACCCTTGTTTTGCATTTTTTCTACTTGAAATCGAAATGTCAAATGCCAACTTTTTCAAGAAAATTATAGATTTTTGTTTTGGGACTGAGGTGCTGGTAGCATATTTGTTTATTGCCATTGCGAATACTCTGAACAATATTATACAACATGATTGTGATTATATGTATGCTAAGAGGCAATCATCCTAAGTCACTCGAAATGGTTGGGATTGGAGATCAGATCATTAAAAAGACTCTTCACAAATATAGAATTGAACTACCACATGATTATTATGGCTGTGTGATTGTTGATTTACAAGGGACTAATTTATTAGTTTATTTTTTTAGACGAAACCTTTGGGTCATCAGAGCAGTATCTCGGTCAAGTTAAATTTAAGTTTTGAAAAGTAAACTAGCAACACAAGGGAATTAATTATTAGAAAATGTCCCTCGAATAAATTAGCCTATGTGGCTTATGTACCATAACTACATAAATTGAAAATATATACGCTGACAAATGATCATAAACGGAAAAACAATAAAAATTAAGTGTGTGCTTTGATAAGAAAACAGAACAACTAGCTCAACTTAAATATCATAGTAGAAATCCACAATCCACTGTTTCACAGCCGAAATGTATTTAAACCATTTGAAAACTGTAAAACGTGTCACTTGTATATAAAAGAATTTATTTATCAAAATAAACACATCTGCCTTAAAAAATAAGGTTGCCAATGACACAGAAAACATTTTATTTTCATTATCAAACAACAAAAATACTAAAATACCAAATAACTACGCGATCGTTGAGAGAAACAGATACGATATAAAAGAAAGATTGACAGTGTAAACTGCTGTGAAATGTGCCATAGAGTAAATATTTATCATCAGGTATTGCTCTGACAACAAGCCAGCAAAATAATACTGAATTACGAAAGTAAACAGAATAATAAGTAACAACATTCGACGAGGGAGCGGACGATTATATCGATCGTACGGGAAGTCGCTCCACTGCATGGCAGCCACCACAACGCAACTGAATACTCTCTCGTGCCAAAAATTCCCCCCATGTTCCCTATAATGGGGAATCCTCTAAATATGTATCATAGCATAGACGGATAATACGACGAAGTGATTAAATGCATTTTACTAGCTACGGTTTCAGAACGTGAATATTAATTGTAGTTTAATCATTGGGTGTTATGGGAAAGAGGTCATATTATACTACTACAGTAGTAGGGACAACTGTTTCAAATCCCGGTACACTCACAAACACTTTATTTTCACTTTGACCTCTTGTAAAAGGCACCTGGTGTAAGAAAAATTGTATGGTTTGTTTGAGCATCAATATGTATTTCAAACAATCACAGATAACGTATATACTACTTCAATGTGAAACATATTTGTAATAATATAATGTAGTAATATTTGTAAAAAAAAAAATAACTAACATAAGAACAGAGGACGAAGTACTTTTTACTCTGTATCCAGTAAAAACAATCTTTTTGTTTCAAAATATTTTTACCTTTTACAGGAACTACTAGCTTGATTGTTCAACAAAAATTAATATAGTTAAAATGTTTTAATGCATACATACAATACATAGTCAATTAACAACAAACCAGATATCAATGTAGAAATTACAAATTTAGACAGCACCCATAGTCCACACCAACTGTGATAAATGGTACCGGTAGCAAATAAAAAGAAACCTCAAGGAGGTATTTCGAATTAAGTAGTTGGCTTTTATCCATTAAAATACTAGTAAAACTCAACAAAAATAATGCAATATTTAATGAATGAACACACCCCAAAATCGCATGGAGTTAAACTAAGATGAAATTTAAATATTAAAAACTCTATAACACTAAAATAGAAAATGGAATGTGCAGAGTCAAAGGCGGCCGTGGCAGAGTTCCCCTTCAATAAGAAATTCTCCCAGCGATTGGCAACCCTGTTCGCCACTGCCTGTCCAAAAATACCCGCGATTTTGAAGGCAGTCCGGTGAAAATAGCAGAAGCAATAACATAGCAGAAGACAGAATAAAGAATTTGATTTAACCACATTACAAATTTTGTGTTTACTTCAATAGTTCAATTTGGTTTACTCGGCAAACGTATGTCGTAATGACTTAGAGATATTCTTTATCTCTAGTGTCAGTTTGTGTTGTGCTTATCTTTCTGGTGTAATAGTAACTTAATGGTTTTCTTGTGCAGTGAACCTGTCTTTACCATAAGGAATTGGATTACAAATTTTAGGGTTAGTATGCCTATTTATTATTTATTTTGTCTAAAAAAGTCTGATTTTTAACATTTAACTTTCTTAAACTAGGTCTGGGGTTTAATTACATTGAGGTGATTTCAAACCCTATGCTAATATGGTGGTTTGATGTAGAAATAACTAATATTCTATTAGTTAACCTTTGTTGCCAATCATTAATTATTGTACTATATTTTGTGCTTATTATTATGCAAATTAGTGTATGGTGGATTCATCGTCAGTTGGTTTAACATAAAAAATACCAATACCGGTGTATAAATACTCAGGCCTAAATACTTTATATGTCACAGACATTAATCTTCAAGAGCAAGAATATTTTTCACTGGTTAATAACACACTTGTATAGCCTAGTTCAGTTTTTTACACCTTCAAATCTCCTTATTCAGGTGATAAACACAACTAAACTTAGGCCCTATGTAAAGTTTTACCTCAATAAAATAAAATAATTGTTTGATTAAACTTTTAAACTAACTTAACTAAGTATACAAAATCACATCTTAAGCTGTTTAAAATGGAGAAAATATTAAGATTGAGGCAGATGTTCATAGAGAAATGTAAGTTAATGTTTAACATTAATCTTATTAATTGCGATTAAAATAAATCAATGTTAAAATAAAATAAATTGTGATAGAGACATCTTTTATCCTGTCATGTAATTCGATTTTTAAATTCCACCTTTTGCTGTGTGATAATAGTTCTTACTTTAATACAAACAAATATGCCAACCAACGTCAGAAAATACCAGGTTCTAATAGGGATGATAAATAATTACAAACCCTTGTGGTTGACTTACCGGTACCTATCAATACCCTAATTATTTTCAGTTCGGACATTATATCAATCACTTTCTTAATTCCTGTTTAAATAATTTAAATCTCTGTCTGGTTACCATCGTTCTCTTCTTTGCGCCACACAATATTTTGCAGAATAATTTAATACTTACCGGTAGCAAAACATTTTGGAAAATCCAATGTAACCTAAATACCTATCAGCCTACCAATTAGTCTATCAGAGAGCAAATCCTAGGGTTTAATTGTACCTACGTTTCATCCACACAATATATGATCAATCGCTTGTGCTTAGAGGAATGTTTTGTCAACCGCTGTTGTAATGCAGAGAATAACAACAACCCAGTCAGTCTGTGGCCAAGTCAGGTCACGAGTGAGTCACAAATCAATGCCACAAGTGTAAAGCTGAGACCTCACCAATGCGCTCTTACCTCTTGTATTCACTCAAGAGAGGGAATGAAGCAAGTCATGGTCTATTTCTGTTCTTTGCTGCTGTAAATTTGGATTTAGAATATATGCCACTCTCACTGCAGCCTTTGATATAAGGTGTTGCTTACTGAACTACTTGGCTCATAAAGATTTTGTCATCTTTTATTATTCCAATAAATCATCTGGTCTTTGATTCAATAGGGCGTTTTGCCTTTATCATATGCGTTGTTTATTTGTGCTTGGTATAAACTCCCTGATGTATTACCGTTTTTTTAAGGGTATAATAGCTAGTAAATTTATATAAATAAATACTGCCCTTTTATAAAGAGTTAGCCTAAACCACATTGATAAATTGGTCTGAAATCTCAGATAATTTTTTTATGGATACGGTATTGATTTTTAATTTATACCATACCGTACTACTAAGTTATAGTACATCCTTGCTTGAATGTATCCTTTTTCGTAATGCAAGTTTAATCATAGTTCTCACTGTTACAATATTTCCAGTCCAAGTCTGTGTTTATCTAGGCCTATATTCAATTTAATTGTTTCTGTTTGTTTTTCACAATAAAAATTAGTTGTTAGATGTTTTGTCTGTTCATCCTCTTTTTTGAAGGTACGAAACCAATCTGCTTGGCTAACTCACAGAGACATCTATAGACAACCACTCTAAACGTTTATATCAGACTACACCAAATTATCTGAGAAACTCGCTGATTTGGTCCTTGCAAATTATTGGCTTTACTGTGCTATTGAGTTTTTTTAGTTTGGGTCCAGTACCGCTCTTGAATATATTACAGTTAAAAACGATTCTATCTAGCCTATGTTAAATACATGCAAATTATTTGTTTCATGCCCCAGTGAACAATGAGTCCTATACCTATTGATACTAGAGCTGAGGCAGGATGTAATCCAGAATGTTTTACAAATGAATTTAGCATGTTCATTTTTAATTAAAAATCCTCTGACGTAATTCCATCGCTAATGATCATGTAAATAAAAGCTTCCAAAATATCTGAGTAACGTACCGGTATACTGAATCTTAATGACACACATTGAATCTTTTATTGGAAACACAGTGAGTTAAATTTCTCTTTTTGACCACAATAAATTAATTGGAGAGATAAGTACGAGTATTTAAATAAAAATAAACATTCCTGTCTTAAAAAATAAGGTTGCCTATGACACAGAAAAAATATTACACTTAAAATATTGAATGATTTGTAACAGCTATAAAGACTGATTACATTTGATGTTTGCCATAAAAATGATTTCTCATCATAGTCAATCTCTCAATGTTTCACGTGTAATAATTTTCTGTGAAATAACTAGGTAGTTCAGACTGTTGTTTTTTTTAATTTTTAATTTTTTTTAATATGTAGCCTATTGCATATTTTGTTGTTGAATATTGTAAAAGTAAGAATACTACAATAACTTGTGTTATTTTGCAGTTTAAATGATCAATCCTACATTCAAGTTCTAGCTCTTACATTTAAAGATTTTAACAACCAATAATATCGCTATGAAAACTAAACAAAGGGTTTGACTGTTGTAGCACTCGAGTGATAACATCTTTAATTATTACCAACATGCAAACTCGGAACAGAATCATGCAATGGCTCAAAGTGGATTGGGGTTTACATATTGTATGAACAAGTCGTTTGAGCTCTTTAGCTAAAATTGATAGTTTAGACTACTGCTTGTGCTTGTGGGATCAATATTTCTGTTGTTTTGATTTTTGTTTTTCTTCACCTTTGGGATTTTCCAAAATATTGAGAATCTTCCATGCCCTGGACGTGGACTTGTTCGTATTACCATGTATTATCCGCCACTGAAAAGAAAACAAAGACATACAATGTAAAATTGTACTTAACAACACTTTTTTATATTAAAGGTAAATAATAATAATAAAAAAAAAAAAAAACAATAAAAACACTATTATACCTACTTAACTATCCAGTGTAAATAGTTTAAGGTGACAGTCATACTTTAAAAAAAAAATGTTCTTTCAGAGAAACATAAATTAAAAGCTAAATCCAGTTAAAGCTTGTAATGCAGCTGCAGCTTTTGAGAGTTAGGTTTTCCATAATTTATAAACTTTCAATATAACAACAATAAACAAAATAAATCAAATCAGTCTGGTTTTGTGACCCGATTTGATGGAATTCATTATTTTTGTTAGCTTTATCAACGAACACATAATTTTAGGTCATCACTATGTCGTTTAAAGTGTTTAAATGCCAAATTCTTGAAAATTATTTTAAAATCGATGAAATAAATGTACAGGAAGTAGCTTTTCACTATAGATTTAATCCATTTGTCACAGTGGGGGATCTAGAACAGTCACAAGGGGGGGGGAACCAGGGAGTCTGAGGGGTCCGGGGGAACCCCCCCGAAAAATTTGTGTAAACTAAGTCTCCTAAATGGCAGTTTTATATCATTTCTTTGTCCAAAGTTAGTGTCACAAATTATTTTACGCAATGTGTATGCACTACTGTATTACATGCAGCAAAAGATATGTACACTGTATATGTATGCCCGAAGGGGGGGGGGGGTGGTCGCCCCCTTCACCCCCCCTCTGGATCCGCAACTGATTTTTCAATCAATTAATTAGTTAACACTTTTTTTGAACTCCAGTTGTAGGTAGGTATACTTATTGGCTTTTTATGGCAATAAGGCATAGCTAAATATAATGAAGCTAGTTCAAATGAAATGTATAATGACTCAAGTTCCAGTTTATTTTGGACTGTGATTAATTGAAGAGATTTGTCTGAGATTTATCAGTAGCTGAAGTAGTTTTATCAAACTAATTGCTCTCATCAAAAGACAGACTCTACAGTGTGATGTTAATTGATTGTGAGGAGAAATCACAGTTGTAAATTATTAATTTAAACTTCTAGTTAGCGTAGATGACTCAGCGATGTTACAAAAAATTAATACCCCCGCCGCAGCAGACCTGCAGGCTAAGCGAATTTCCATTTGCCTGATTGGATTTACGCTAAAATATCTCCTTAAAAATATGCGTTTATTTCCTATTAAAATAGCATTATAACGAGTACTTAGGGTTAAAAAGCGTTTTTTTTGTATAGGTAACTTTTAATCTATAGTTTAGTATGAAATAAATGCATTCTCCAAATTTGATCAAAATATGTTCATAAACAAGCAAACAGAGTTTACTTATTCTCCATGAGAAAAACATGGGGGTTGTAAATGCAAAATTTTTGTTTATATTTTCTTTGTAACTTAACCATTAGGCATATAATAACGCTTCGATGTACAGTACTAAATAATTTCTTTTGTTAAACACTCTACAAAATGGTTTGGAAAACTTTTATGTTTTTAGAATAAAAAATGGGAAAAACAGTCTTTACCCAATAAACCCCCTTCCCATCATTCCTGGTCCAATCATGCTAGCTAACAAACTCATTCAAGTTTATCCCGCCCTACACCTCCAAGCCAAATCAAAATCTGACTAATTACTCAAGCTGTCGTGTTCACAGACACACACATGTATTACAGTATATACATATATAAGAATTTGAACGAATAGTGTTTTTGGCCTCTAGGGACATCAAAACGAAAAGTGTATCAGTTCCGAATCTAAATCTTACCGTGCCACCTACAGTAATAGCTACTTCCCTATAGGGAAATTCGTTAAAGTAGATGTAGTTGAATGAAAAAAAAACCATTGACAGGATTTGCTACTGTCAATTATCGATCTCTGTTGTATAAACCAAACTGAAAAAGACATCTTACTGAACATACTGTATATATTTTGGCTAAGACGAGTGTTTGGTTGTCTGCTAATCATCTGATCTGTGCAGGTATGATGGGGCCAGGATGAGTTGTTTATCCTGTGCGGGTGATGGAAATCGGGATTGCATCCCTTCGGAAGAGTTTAACCGTTGGACAGACAGTCTGCACCATGTGCTGCATAGCAAAGACGGCAGAAAGTGAGTAACTAAAACCTTGCTTGGTCTCCATTTTAAGGGCTAAAAGACACATTATTGTTATAGTTTGTTGACAACCATTCCATCAAACAAATACTAGGGATCAATAATTACTCAATTCCACAGTGACCACTTTCAGGTTGTATGAGAGATTTCCGTGAAACTAACAGTGGCGGAAATATCATGTTTATTGTCATGTAGGTTACGTTAACTGTCCTTGTAAGGAAATACATATTTGTCTCTTCATAGATTGATATTCAGACTTACAATTTGGATTTTAACTTTGTCACTTACTATTACTTACTCCTGTGGCCATTAACAACCAAAGCGGTTTTTGGCCTCGCCAACCATGTGCCTCCAGGATCCTCTGTCTTCTGCCATTAAATATTTGTTACAGTCAATATAAAAACATGTTAAGAAGAAGTACTAAGTTAAGGAGCGTTTTGCAGGCTCCAGTGTTTTTTAAGACGGTTGGTGTCGCCAAGACTGCCATTTATCATGCATGGATTGTGGATGGTGAATGTGGAAAGGAATACAGTTGAATGACATTTAGCAAAATTTTGGGAGTTTTGGCCAACGATAGTAAAAGTTAAATGGAAAAAGATGTATTCAAGTTGGGAATGGTAATTAATTGTTATTGTACAGTTACGTTACATGTTTAGCAGAGCTACCAGATTATCGGTATTTTAATAAAAAGTAGTGTTAAAATGACTTATTTCAAAATAATTAAATTTAAGATCTCCCACCAATTCTTTCCCAGATTAGTGAACATAAAAGAGCTACTTAATATACAACAAATTGTCAAGTATATTGGAATCTGAACCCTCTGTCCTAAGAACAATCCTCCGACTACTGAATATGTGCTGTTTAGCTACCAAAATACTCAAACTACTCAAATATTAGCCAAAATAGTTGTTCCTAAAACAACCACTAGTAAAGTTTGACATCATTTACGATTACGACAAATTGTACTGAACCATGAAGGCATTTTTTAAATAAAAAAACTAAATTGTTACATGATTATTGAAACCCCAAATAAACTTTATCTTTTAAAGAAGGGCTCTTTTAGAAATTATGTGTCCCCTGGTTTTGTGTTTTGTTATTCATTCAATACAATACTGTATCATAAAAATATAAATTTATAAACTGAGTTAGAAGTCTTAAGAAAAAATGTCTCTACACTGTAATAAAACTTTACTAACTGTGCTATATTTGTAGATATTTCCGAGATTTCCTGTCTTCCCGTGGATTGGAAGATTCAGAGAATACTTTGGAGTTCTGGGAACGCTGTGAAGTTCTCTGTAGAACACATACTGGACACCGAGGACACTCCGGGTAAATAATGATGAACATTTAGGCTTACTAATGTTCCTTTTTTAAACATCTACCTGTCTGCATATACTAATGCTGCTTTCTCACTAATCGGGTTTTGCCAGTACAGATAATTTTTTTAGTAGTATAAAGAATAGCATGAGAGCTTTCACACTACACGGTTATGACAATGGCAGAAAACTCTTGCAGCCGTCCACTGCCATTGAACCGGATGGTTGTCGTGGCGTGGCTGTGCATGTAGTTGCTAGGCTTTACACGGTTTATGTCTAAAGGGAGCTCACCAGTCAGTGCAAATAGATCAGCACTTTTAGTTTATTGTTTACAATCTAAATTAAACACTGTTTAATATTGTGACATCCCCGCTGGGGTAGTTTTCTATCAACTACACTGGATGCCTCTTGTGGGCTGGTGACCCCGAGGTACCTTAGCCAAGCCCCAGATCCCTCCTCTTCTTTGTTCTGGGTTCTATGGCCAGCATACTTCCTATGCTGGCTCTTCGTTCTTCTTTGCTTTCCTATTGAAGAACTCTTCTCTTCTTCCTTCCTTTTCCTCTTTTTCAGCCGAACCTCAGTGGTGTTAAGCGATCCATGCCGCAGAGGTGAATGCCACCGGGCACCCCAGCAGTGGTTTGTAAGGAGCCTCTAGGATACCAGGTGACCCTGCTGGAGTAAATAACCTTACCCGGGCATACAGGGCTCGACGTACAGCCTCACAGTAGTTTACTGGTGGGAACGTTAAGGTTTCAAGAAAACCTAAACCCTAGAACCAAACCTCGATGCAACTCCAGAAGCTGATCACCAACACTTCAGGGGTTAGCTCATCCAGAATCCAGAGCAAGACCCATACCTCTATGAAGCCCCAAGGACCAGAGGAACACCAGGCCCATCTGTGGGTTCGGATGTCGAGACGAGTGTGGCCACTTGGCCTTAGAGGTGCAACAGTCACACCACTCTTGGTAGAAGAACCTTCAAAGAAGGCCAGAGGTTCAACCCGTAGGTCTGATGAGGGTGAAGACGCGTGAGGGGGGGGGTTATTCCAATAAACACCTTTAAACTTTTGTAATCTTAATGACAGCCAGGAGTGTTGATTACGCAACCAGTCCAATGAGACTGTAAAGCACATCATTCTGGATTGCTACAGACTTGTGGCTAGGAGGAGGGCCTGTTTGGTCAAAAGCAGCCAGGTGATGACCTAGACGCTAACATTGGGGCAAAGCTCTTGGACCTGGTCAAGGACTTGGGCATAGGCTCACCTAGTTAGCTTATAGGAATTAAAAATATTACAAAAGTTATAATCTTTGTTAAACAATAATTAATTGGTAGTTAAAAGATTCCTGTATATTTATGCATCTGGATTTTCCTTGAAATTGTTTTCTGTCACATTACTCGCCCATCCTTTCTCATTAAAATTTATATGGCTTATAGGAGGAAACTGGATTTTGATTTAACCTTGATTAGTTTAGTAACATAATTTATTCAATTTTTGTAAAACGTGTTTGAATGTACTCCATAAACACATTTTTTGTTTTTGTTTCCATAAACACATAACCCAATGTGGGTGGTATTTGTTGCATAGCCAACAGAACAGACAAAGATCTTGCTTTTAAAAGTGTTTGGTTCCCACTTTTCAGGCACATTTGCGTTTTCTGTTGGAAAATGGAGACTTTAATGTTAATTTTTGTGCTGCGTTTCTAATATCTGGTATTTTATAAGCTCATCGATGACGTCTCTCTGCTATCGGAGAATCGACACCGCAAACACAATCAACAAACACGGCTTGTCACCCCGCTATCGGAACTCGGTTATCGGTGAAAAATTGATTGTAAATTACCGTAAATTTATTTCCCTAGTTTATAGAACACTTGTACAACCAAAATCTTCAATTTTCATCCAACCCAATACAGTGCTTCGCTGTGAAATGGATTGTTTTGGTTTCTTGGAACTCTCTCAGTTGTTTTGCCATCTTCTGATTAGATGCCTGATACAAATAAAATAATCTATATATATATATATAAAATCTAATCCTTAAACAACAAGCAAAGTTTGTATAGTTTGATGTGTACGTAACTGGTAATATTAAATTAAAATGAAACTCGCTCTCATCCAGTCATTCCATGGTGCACTCACCCTGCTAGTAACATTGATGTCTGATTAGTATTTTTATTTTTGGTTGAAAAATCATTCTAATGTTCACTAGCGCTACTGGAAAAATATCTCACATAAATGATTTGGGACTGGTAAAAGGGGTTTAAAATTTCAGGAATTTACTTCCAAAAAACTGTTTAACACAACAATTTCTTTTTCAGGTCCCACAATTCCAGACACATTGCTAACTTGCGTTTCATGAAAGATGCCCGAGATTTGGTGGACTTTGCTGAGGACAAAATCAACCTAGATTTGGCAGCAATGAGAGTGATGTATGAAGCTGTTGAATCAGGGAATGAGGACCAGATCAAGAATGCACTGAAAGAGGCGATGCAGAGTGCCACAGAACTGTTAGCAGACGACTATCAGCTGTTTAGGAAAAATCTGTTAGAAGAAAGAGGACTGGGTAGGAGAACTTGACTAGCTGGTTGAGAACGTATCATTGATCAGCTGTAAATGAACAGGTTGTTTATAGTGTGCTAAATACTGTGCCTCATCAATCCAATCAAATCGCTTTGCAAGTAGTATTGTTACAGAGTATACTTACTTAGTATGTTTACTCTAAATATACGATTTTTTATGTTTAAACATTACTTTGTTTTTGTTATTTTGAAAATGTGTTAAATGAATATTGAAATAAGTGTATTGTAGTGAAATAGTTCAACCAAATACAAAAAAAATTTGGAATGGTTCTATGTTTACGTCAGAGTAAATATCAGTTTGCCTCTTACAAGTTTTTCTTACATGATTTCTTCTTTTTAATCAGAATTGGAAAGAAAAATATTTTATGAAATTAATTTTTAAAACTGCAGTTAGGTTATTAGTTTAACTGTGCAATACACGTTAAGTTTTCAGAGAAAACTTTTATTTGTTTGTGAAACAGTATTGCTAAAGGACATTTTTGTATAGCAACTCACAGTTCCTATAGTTTTAACGGAACAAACACATCACACTGCCAGTTCCTTCTGTACTTAAGTTTTAAAAATGTCTCAGGTTGAGCTATGTACCAAAGGTAGCCTATTTAATATTTGATGTTAATAACATGGATGTCAAGTGGTACTGGGAATAAAATAACACCATATTATAGCAAGAGTACTTATGTCATTGCTGACGTTTGAGTGATCATCTCAGTTTTCCAAGAGTGTCAATCAGGTTAAAACCTTCCAGCAATTATCACCAATATTTTAAAATCCACGATTAGATTATCAATATCTTGATTTATAACCAGATATTTTCTCATTTAAATTGTTATCATTTAATCTAATTTTGTCTTAACATTTGACCATTTACCAGTATATTATTTTAATCACCGTTAATCCAAAATTTGTGCTAGTACTGTAGATGACGAAATTTTGCTGTCCCCTTAATTAAATCAAAGATTGTAAATCATGTTACCCATGTCCTCCTCAAAATTTGTATTTTGTTTTTGAAACAAATAAAAGATTCATTTCATTATTTTAGCCTAAGTTGTGAAGGTTATTGAGCTCACAAGATACAGTCATGCTTTAGTGTTGGCAAATGGAATTATAAGGTATATGTAACCTGGTACATAAACTACATCTTTGCCAATGCACTGTAAAATGTCAGCGTTTTCCTGAACAAAATCATAAATTTACTTTAGAATTAAAGGGTTTGTAAATAGTGTTATGATGTTTAAGTTTAACATATTTATTATCTTTATTTCAATATTTTCTGGAAATACGGAATAAAATATTTATTACCAAGGAATATTCAATGTTGTATATTTTAATTTTGTTTATTTTCCCCTAAACTTGTGATTCTTTAAAAAAAACATGTAAAGAGGGTGTTTATTACCCAAAAATTCATATTTAAATACATGATGGATTTTTTTTATTCTTCTTTTGAAAGAAATATATAGCCTACATTTGAAAGGAAGGGAATGTCGAGGCCACCATTTGAATCACTATTAATGTATGCCTTATCACAGAGATATACAGAGGAAACATGCTTAAGAAACAACCATGCGCTTTTAGCTTGGGAATGGTGGGGCAGAAATATCATAGTAGGTACCGAGCCAGGAAGAGCCTGAACAGCAGTTGTACCACACAGGCTCTTTCTACAGCGAGAGCGCTATAGTACGTGATGGTCAGGGGGGAGAGGAGAGCGACCAATAGAATTTGAACTAGACACGACTTAAGTGTACCATTGAATTTTGTGTGTAGAAGATTGTGTGTAAAGTATATTTAATTTCTTTGGATCAGCTGTCTCAAATCGTGAATAGAGCATTTGGCAGTTAACATTGTGAATTTTCTCACACTTCCATGGAGTGGAGACAAAGTAATACTTTTGAAAACCTCACCTAAAAACTTTGGACATCCAAGGGGAGTAGCATGAGAGGAACTCAGGAAAGTGAATAGGCCTATGACATTCCTAGTTATGACCATGTTTTTGCTTAATTTTGGCTGTGTTTTGGTATTTTAGCTGTGACAGCTGTCCAGACAGACAGACACCGAAACACCACCTCAATTTTATAATAATATAGATAGATAGATAGTTAGATGAGAAGTCTGCTTACAATATAAGTCCATAATAAAACATGCCTGTGTGTGTACCTACTTGGATGTATATTGTTAGGTCCTTGGAGGGATTACTTACATGGTCCTACAAATTCCTCTGATACCCCATACATGTAAATATATTACAAATACGTAAATATATTACAAATAAATATATTTAATATTGAAACACACCAGGAAGAATAATCAACACAAAATCCTCTGCATGAATAAAATAAACTTTATACACGATGAAAATGTAATACAAAATGGAACAACGTAAAATAACAATAATAAAATTCAATCTGATAATATATTAACAATCGATTTATAAACCGAAAGGTCCGAGGAGCGTTTGGTCGAAATAAAACATTATTGTCTCGTGAAATAAATGATCAGATTTGGGTAACAACTAATGTTTTGAGGCTAAGTGAAATATTTTCTAACAAGCAACAAGTTTGGTGCTTATAACAATATTACTTACAACGCACTCGTGTACTTGGCGACAGTATGTCAACATCTACTCTTACGTTACTGGCAGTGTCTTATAGTACATTAGTGGTGGGTGATTATATGAAAAAAACTTAATACATTTCAACCAACCGAATTATTGAGTTCCCAGGCAAACTTGGGAATATACTTGACATACTAAAATGAGAAAAAATATTTGGTTGATTAGTTAAATGACACATTATTTTAGTAAATTAAATTAAGAGTCAATATCGTAAAAATATACGAGAAAATGATTTTATTATATTGTATTAATAACAACATAGTTGAAAATAAATATTTGTATCACTTAATAGTCAATACAAAAGTAATATTATCTGTAAAGATAAATTACTAAATACTTTGTCACGCTAACACTGGTTTATCAGATGAAACAAATACAGACAACAAGGATCATAAGGTCACAAGGATTTATTATGAGTGTGAACAAAAACGTCTAACCTAAAAACAAAAATAATGTAACTGCCTCAATCAATGACTTGATGAATCTGCTAAGAACCGCGATTGATGTGGTCTGAGTTGGAGCCAGTTATATAGTCTTTACAAGTGAAACATCAGTTAAGCTGTAGAACTGATTATGAATTCAATACTAGAATCCATTCAAATAAATAAATACACGTTCTACTAATTTCCTACCACTCTATAAGACGCACAATTCTATCCTGGCGAAATATGTGACATAAGCTATCACTTCACACAATCAGTAGGCTACTTCACAGCTCTTGCACTATCAAAGAGTTTGTGACATGGGACAAAAAATGACAAAAGATTTCCTCAAGATTAATGTATTACTCGATTCTGTGACTTACTCGGAAAAGAAAACCCAATAAGTTTTAATATATAGATTGGTTTATTTAATCTTTTTCTCACACTGAGATCATTTAAAATACTCAATAACATAATTAAAGTAGCTTTGTTGGTGATTAAAACCAGTTAATTTGTCCACCATTGATGTTCACTTTAACTCATTTTTTTTTATATTTTCTAACATTTTCATTTTCTTAGAATTTTGTTAATCTGCAGATTGGCTTGCGAGATTGACACTTATGCAACATGACAAAATATTTTTACAATATTAGTCACCTAAAAAGGTTTTATTTCTGATTCGTCACACTAAAGATTGTTGCATAGTTAACGTCAAGTTTAAAAATAGCAGACAAAAACAAATTTTTGTATTCCAAATCATAACAACCAAGAATGAGAGTACAACTTAAGTTTACAACAAACTCAAGTTTTATATTGGATAGGGATTGAAACTGATTTTGTTATAAAGTAAAGTTCCACTCTTGTATTAATTTTTGAAAAGAAATTCCAAGGGAAACAAATTTAATCTAAACAACTCAAAACTTGTTACAAAGGAAAAATATAGATAGTAAGTCAAATAAAATGATACAATTGATAACAGTACAATTGATTTGTATTTACAAAATTGATAACATATTCTGTCAAAAATGATTCTGTTGGTAACGAGTACAGTTATAATTAATCACACTGTAAATTAATCCTTACATTATAAGAATACTCGTGATCATTAAATGATTTATTTCAACAAAATAAAAAACTAAACACAACAACAGAGGTCAGAATGTTTTCTGGGAAAACATAAATTTTATGATAAAAGTGTATAGTCATATAAAAAAAAATTTAACTGCCGCCAAAGTACACTTTTACAATCTATTAGCACACATATACTACTATATACTCCAGTGCGATAAATAATTTAAACAAATCTGTTTTTGCACTTTCAAATAATAGATTTTGATTGGGGTAAAATACATATGCAGTATATATATAATATATACACAACAACTTTTGAAATGCTGAAGCGATCTATACAGGCGAATTTCTGCCCGGAACTCAAGTAAAATCTTCCACCAAACAAAAAAAAGAGACTCGAAAATAGGAAATTAAACTTTAGTTCTGCGTTAGACGAATTTCCAGGTTAGGTCTTCTACATTCCGGGCTGAAAAACTGCTACTTCTGTAAAAAAAAGGTTGCAAAGATTAGATGCTATAAGCGTAAAAAAACTTTGCATGAAATGATATAAATACACTATCCATTACCGTATGTGAGCATTTTACCTGAACACTCATAATACTGAATACACTCATAATTTTATGTTCTTTTCATCCTCATGGTTTTCTGTTTTACAGGAATTTCCCTCAACACATTCACCATTCCATTAGCGATTCAAACTTTAACCACTTATGTAAGTTTTACCTTAACACTCTTAATATTTTATGAGCATTTTACATGTACAGTACACTCCCTCTTATCCGGACTCCTCGGGACCGAGGCCAGTCCCCGGATAACGGGTTTTCCGGTTAAACCGACGTCCCCAAAAACTAGTTAAAACAGACCGTTTACTGTGATATTCAACTTAAATTTAGGAGAGCATTGTATTTATTCATGTGATAACTGGTCTCAAATCTTTCCCACGAGAACAGTTGTTTCAGTACCGCCATAGATAAAACATACTCCCTTAGTAGATTAGTCATCCTAATGGAACAGCTGAAGCCAATTTTATTGTTAGTTCTGTACGTCCAACTATAGAGGTTATGTTTTGTTTACAATTTGTTTCTTGTTATTGCAGTCATTTAAAACCTCGTTTAACCTAATAAAACGATATAATCATAAACAATAACTGGTCTCCTAGTTATATAACCAAATAGTAAAGCAGAAATCATGAAAATAACCCTAAAATAATAGAAACAAAATGTTGTCTACACTAGCGATCAGTGTGGACGTACATGAACTAGACGCAAAAAACAAGCTTCAAAATTTACAATGGGATGAGGAGTCTACTTGTGTTGCTTAGTCTATGGTACCGCCCACTTCCTGCCGATCTGGTCCGGTTAAACCAATGTGCTGATAAGAATTGTCCGGTTAAAGAGATGTCATTTCCGCCGAGTGTAGTCCGGTTAAAAGGTGTCCGGATAAGAGGGAGTCTACTGTATCCCTATGTAATGCACATTTTCTCTACCGGTATGTACATTTCCCATTCCAATAGCATTCACTCACTATTTTTTAAGTTTTTACCCGTAGACTCACCATTTTACGAATGTTCTATTTGTTCTTCTACTCTCTCTCGCTTGATGTGTTGCTGCAGTTCATCGTCCTCTAGTCCCCGCTTGGTCCCGCCCCCTCCCCCTTCTCCACACGTCGGACCCATGAACTGACCCCTACAACACACACAACAAATATAGTGTATAAACAAATATAGCAAACCCTAAAGAAAGTCCACTCTTGTATGCTCTCTTTTGTTTTGTAATTTTGTCGATGTCATCACTCTTAAATGGTGAAGGAATGGAAATTTAAGTCAGTCACACTGAACGCTATTGAGAGGCAACTGCACAGAACAACAAGAAGACTTGACGCCAGCTAACTTAATATGTTATGTTGTCTGCACAGTTTGGAAAAAAAGCAGCAAGATCAAGCAGCAAAATGTTAATTACTTTTCATACATTTGTCACTTTAAAACATAATTGGTTATTTTGAATGTTTTGAGGTTTTTATTAACGTTTTTCTGAGTATCCGTGTGAACTGAGGATTTGATTATTTGATGTAGCGTTGGTTGACATTATTTTAGTTGGTCAAACCATTTAAGGCTATACTGTATTTGGTTCTATTCAGGACTCACGTGTAATTGTACGAAGTCTGAACAATCACAGATGGAGAGTCCGACCTGTCCTCCACAGCCACTGAGTGATGACTGGCGAGATATCCTGCAAACACATCAGTGTTACCAAACAAACAAAATAACAACTGCCAACCTGACAAAATAAAAATTTGATTTAACCTTTAAGTGGTCAAATAGCGAAATGAAATCATCGAGGAAGATTTAAACAGAACTTGTCCCTTCAAATAAAATACAAACTGCCAACCCCACAAATAAAATTTGATTTTACCCTGCAGTGGTCAACATAGCAAAATTAAATCATAGAAATGTGCATTCTAACTTTTGAATAAAGTTCAATTTTTTTTTTTAAACTGTGTTGACTACAAATGGAGGAGATGAGTCTATTGAGTCATAAAGAAGTCCAGGAGCTATAAAATCTATTGTTGAAATCATATAGAGCAAGATTTTGTCAGATGTTGTCTTAAGGTAATGAAATAACCAAAGAATATTTTCTGAAATCCAAAATTAAATTAGTTAAACTGATCAAAATCATATTTAATTGTAAAAATAACATAAAATAAACCACACCATTACTTAAAATAAAATTTAGGGAAAAGTTAGCAGAACAACAGAAAGTAAATGTTTATTAGGAATTTTTAATTTAAAAAATGGTTAGTATATTTAGAGGCAGAACTATTTGGATAATTACCACCATAGTCTTGGTTTAAAATCTGTGAGAGTATATTGTCATACATTGGTGGAATTAGTCATAGTTATTGAAACACTTAAAAAACCAGGATGAAAAGTTTTACTTTCAAGACGAATATAGTTCTCCTAGAGATTAGAAATGTACTTTTTTACAAACAAACTGTTGACTACACTGAAAAAAATCCAAATGCACTTAGTTTATCATTGATGAAAAAAAAAAATGGGTTTTAAATATTTAAATCAACGTAATTGTAATTCACGTTAGTTCAGAACAAATTATAACCCTAAAACCTAAAACACACATGATCAACACTGGCACCACTCTTACGACTATTTCTTGTTAGTTTCCCTCAAGTTTTGTTTAATTACCAGCATTTTCCGTTCCCACACCTTTGTTACTCTTTAGCCACACATTGTCGTAAAGAAGCTCTTGGTAACCCAAACCTGAGGGCAAACAGAAATTAGGAACTGAATACAAGTAACCAGTACCAGCCCCGGAACTGTAGATTTGCTAATTGCAGCAACCCCCTGTAAGGTTATATTTACAAGTCTTTGTCATATTATTTGAAGCTTTGACAAAAATGCAAGTATGTTCTTCTTTTCTCCAGAACCTTTTGGATGTTGGAGCAATCCCATAATAGGTAAATCTATTTGAACTATCTATAATGGAAATTGTATTATCAAAATGTGGCTTCAATCTTTATCAAGATGATTAATTAGATCAATTTAAGTAGAAAAATGATTGGATGGTACTTGATAGGATTGTCAATTTCACCTGAAAACCTACTCGTCTATTTTTGTCAAGTAGTATGCTCGAAATTAGGATTTAGAATTTAAATCGTAAATAGTTGAGTGTTTGAAAATAAATAATAAAATTGACTTTGTCCCAAAAACTTCCAATGATTTGAAGCACTATTGTTTTTTCTACTACTACTAAATTGAATAAATGGGATGAAAGTAAACAGTTCTAAAAAATAATAGGAATAAAAATAAAATAATAATAATATGACATAAACTAGAATTCTGGGAAACTTTATATGACTACTTGTTATAATACAACTAATAACATCTGAGAAAATACAGGGTGTTTTAAAAGAATACCGGGATTTAAAATTGTAATTGCTTGGATACTAATCAAGGTAACTTAACATTTTATACGTCAAGTTGAAGCTAAAAACAAGTTGAAGCTAAAATAACTAAGTTTTGTTTCACGTGTAGCAAGGGAGGAAACTTTGACCTTGGCATGTGCAAAACAGGTGCGGGCCGGTAGGCCGCTATTGCGACTCACGTGCATGACGCCAGTCGCCAGTACGATGTTTACGGCGCAACAGAAGACAGTGTAAAATGAGTGTAAACTGTGGTTCACAGAGTTTATATAGATTGCAAGATAAACTAAATTTAAATATACTTGATGATAAAGAAATTTGACGCTGGTTTAATGAGTTACGTGGCACCGTAGTGTTTTGAAAAGACGTTCACCTGGCCGGCTAAAAACAAGCGATGACATTGTCGAAGAAATGTGACAATTCTGCATCAGAAGCCTCCAAAAATCGATTGCCCAACAAAAGTCTTCAGTTTAACATACTTAAATCAACACTTTATGATGTTATCTGTAAAAGAGAGTCTTTAAAGATCCAGTTAAGACATCAGATAAACCCGCCGATCGCCCTAAGAATACAGACTCAGCCAGTTTTACGCTCATATAAGATTGAAGAAAATCTTAATTTTATTAAATTTTTCTGAATTGTATCAAAGTATGAGAAAAAACAATGTTCTTTTTCCTTCAATTTGACGTTTAAATCATTTATCTTCACTAGTCCCCGAGCAACGACCGTTTAAAATCCTGACATTCTTCTATAAACACCCTGTACTTAAGAATTGCTAATAGAACTACAAGAGTAATCCATACCAATGTATTAGCTAAAAGATAGCAAATTGATCTAGGTATATAAACAGAACTTATAAAAAATACTAAAAAGTGTTAATTATAGTAAATATAGTAATAGTAAAAAGTTTCCTCCACCAGTAAAATCGACTCTCAATCTAACAAACTACGAAATACATCTAAAACATTGGTAACGCCATAGTGCAATAGTGCCTATGACAGCAATATTTGTATGCAGCTTTGATTACTTATGGAGCATTCAAAAAATATTTATTAGGTATACGTTCAACCACGGATAATCCATTACAGATAATCAAAGTTCTACTGTAGTAGGTAAAAACATAGCTACAAAGAAATAGAAGATTCCCATACATTATATCCTTATAAAATAAAAATCTAGGCAACATTTCCGAGGTCTGTGTCACTTGACTGGCCAAGTGCAAGTACTGTGAATATTCTGATCTCAACCAACATAAATATCTGTACATAAATACAAGGTTTGCCAGCAGACCGAGTAGCCTGGCCTAAGTAAAGATTGAGTGTGAGGGAGGGAACTTAAACAAAACATTTAAAAGCATAAAAAAATTACAACTAAAGCAATAGTTTTACAAATAAAACGCCAATTGACATACACTGCAGTTTCTAAATTTAATAAACATCTCTAGCAACTTGAAAATAATAATTTTCCTCAGACTGACCTTCTCTAGGCAGGTCTCCGTTGGTGACTAGCGTAACATGTTGCATGATTCTCGGCTTTGCCGACGTTACGAAAGTAGCACCTGCAAAAAAATATGCAATAAATATTGCTTCTCATGGATTTACTCTCTGAACAAATCTTATATTAAGACAAAATATCAGGGTTGTTTTTTGACATTTTGTTGGGTATCTACTAGCCAATGAACTCTTAATTTCTGTTGTTTTTTCCTCCTGATCACAAATATAAATTAGTACAAGAGGTTAAAATACCTTTAATCCGTCAGTGTGATCAACGTTACCGATACGTAGTTCGCCAGAAATAAGTAGTTAAAATCATCGCACTATAGTGGCTCCATTCAATTACATTAATTTTTTTCCTAAAACTGGCTTCAGCTTTAAAATCCAAACAGAACTTAGTCTCTATTCACAGTACAAATCTTCAATTTATACTCTAGAAACATAATGGACAAATTTCCTGACATGTTTACAAATAAACCATACCCGGATGGCCAGGACTGCCGGGAGCACTCTGGCTGGTGATGACCGGAGAGTTGACTGTGGAATCCGGAGTGGGAGAGCCTTCCCGGGACAGGGACTCTGGAGTCATCAGTCCGGACATTCCAAGGTGACTGGGAGAAGCAGGAGCAGACCTAGACAGAGAAAGAAATGTTGGTGATTTTTCTTAATGTTATAGCATTTTTGTTGCCGTTTTATGTGTCAATTAGAGTAACATGTGGGATGAAAATGTGCACAGAAACCTTTTCTCCGACCAACACTGCTTTTGATATTTTGTACAGTAATCTCAAAAATATATTGCAGTTGGAATTGAATAAGTGTCTAGTAGTGTGGCTCCGTGTTTTTGGGAGCATTTCATAAATCTCCCTTACATGCCATCATAATTCACACAATATTAGCAATAGTTATATGAGCCAAAGGTCTTGTATCACATTAATTATTTTTCATCATACTGCAGCAAAAACAGCCATTGTAATGCACGAGTTGCAAGTCTAAACTAGCTCTTTAGCTCCCTAAGGAGTAAAATGCCTTTTTAGACCCTAAGGCCCAAAAGTCAGCTGTAAGCTTTGTAGGCCATCACATGTATCAAAATGATGTATTGATTGATTTCATTGGTTGTAGCTCTTATTGTTGCATTCATGTCAATAGTTCGACATATCGATAGTATAATATACACTAACACAATAGTAATAGACAAAATTATTGAATCACTTACTAAACAGCTGCTTGTTTGCTTCAGCAAAATTAAAAGCTAGTTGATAGTCGTTTTGAGAGGTTATCTTTACGTGAAAAGTAGTTCGGTTTTCTAACTTAAGTTTGTTAATTAATGTTACGATATGACAAAAATATAGTTCATCAAACAGGCAAAAAGTGTCTTTTCAACCCTCACTCGTTTTCCAAAAATTGAGTTTGAGTTGAAAAGATTCACTTTACACCATAGTGATGGAATATACTAGTATTGTAGTACTTTGCTAAGATTTTATAATTGTTATGCCTGGAAGCGAAATGTATATTTATTAACTGCCACTTAATTAATGCTATTATGTTGGAAATAGTGTTGTCTCTTCTTCACATAGTTTTGATCACATTCAGTTAAAATTTTCATTTTTTTATTATTTTTTTGACATCAAAACTTAATAATATAATTTATAATATTAATTTTCCTAATTTAAAAATTATATTTGTACATATGTATTATTGTATAGGTATTTGACTAAATCCAACACATTTACTATGTTTTTATTGAAAAAAAGAATGAATTGATTTGACCCTTTTTTCACTTGTTTTTTTATCTCAGACTGTTTTAAGTCCTAATTAGAATCCATCAAATCTAATCTAAGATTGGCTGGTTTTTTGCGAAGCAGAGTTCAAAGAGGTAATTCTACCTATGTGACAACTATTGCTTGCTTTATTGATATATAATATATATTAACCAGAAATTTTAATTTTTCACTGGATTTCAGAGTAAAGAAGTTTCAAGCTTAGTTTTGACAAAAGTTTATCATTGGTTGTTACAAACATCTCCAAACCGAGACAGTCAGAACAGATTTCAGTCTAAATCTTAATCTTTTGATGATCGGAATTTTACAGCGATCGCGTTAGACGATAATTATTTTCATATGACTGTGGGAGATAAGAATTTTGCTGTGACCACAAAAACTATGATAATGTCTTCTGGACCGCGATAATAATGTTTACAGGACCATGGTAGATAATCAGATTTTTTCCACGATTGCGGATGACAGTGATAATGTCTACGTGATCGCAGAAGACGTTTTGAAACATTTCTGTGACCGCTGAGCAATATTCAGGATTTTGCCGTGACCGCGGAAGACAGTGGTGATGTTTCCGTAACTGAGGAAGATATTCAGGATTTTGCCGGTATCACAGAAGAATATGTGAATGTCAACAATGCCCTAAAATATTGGTAGAGTTCCGAAACACCCTGTAGGCTATATTATAATATGTGTCCATTGACATGTCATCCAATTTTGATGAAATTTGGTATCTACATTTATTCATAAGAGTTGTGCCGAAATCATGATCATGGTCCTGAGGCTGTGTAGACATCATCATCAACTCCCGTAGTAACAGAACCATCCTCGTTGTTTTGCGCAATCACGGCATAATCATGAACAACTCCTTAGTCATAATTATAAATATTATCGTCGTCTTCCGCAATTGCAGCCGTGTAGATCATCTTCTAACTGAGATTTTTGATCTGTTTTAAACTATTTCTATGATTTGATCAAAAAGTTAACTACTTGAGTCGTTTCCATGTTTCATAGTTAAAATCAATATTTTTTTCTTTACTAAAAAACTATTAAAAAAAGAAAACTTTAATTTCTTTAAATTTATTCACAAACAATACTTTTTTAACATTCTGTTACAGTTACATACACATCCGAGCTAAAAATATCACAGCTTAGGTTGCTTACCAGAACACTGAATCAGATATTAAATTAAAATGATAACTATTAGAGTTCATGAACTAGTGACGAGTAACAGATCAAAGTACAAAAGCAAGTGCAAGAAAAAAAAAAAAACACCAAAATAAGAAGGACAAATTGAGGAACAGAAAGGTTGCAGGAATCTTGAGGAAAGCAGGAGGGTTAGTATTTGTACTGGGAATACCACTCTTCTAGTTCTTGACTTGTAGGGGTGTCAGAACTTCTCCTTGAAAATTACAAAAAATGTTAAAAATGGTATCATAGTTAAAATACTAACTAATGGTATGATGTAAGATTGTAAATAATAACGTACATGAATACATGCAGTGTGATTAGTGTGAAAGAATGACAAGAATCTCAGTATTGTCTTGCTTTATTTGACAAGAGCAATGTACAGACAAAACTCTAATTTTATTTATATAGAAAAGCTACAGAGAAGTAATTGAGTTTCACAATTCAATTCCACTGTACTATCTTTCTAGGTTCGCGTAATATTATTTTTAATCAAATCAATTAAGCCATGCATGTTGCATATTATATTACTTAAGCTTCATGAAAGTCTAAATGTAAAATGGTTATTGCCGTATATAAATAAATCAATAACTTTAGTGGCTCAGGCCTTTGAATTGACTTCTTTGAAAATTGGTTTTGAATGCATTGTGCGTATTTAATTTTATTTTTCTCAGTTTTAGTTCAATTATTAACAGATACTATTTGCCTTTTAAGATGGTAGCTGACTGACAAGGATTATAGAATAGCTCATAGGAAATGCACCACAAGATTTACAATTAACATGGACCTCCTCCGCTGTACATGTGATGTGCTAGAAGTGATTCAAGAGGGAAGAGCTGCATGGCAGTGTGTTTATACATCCATACTGTGTCATACAGCCTTGACATACCTGGAAGAGAGACCGAAGGGCACGCGGAAGCAGGGTACCCCGCGCTGGCGTCGCCGCCGGAACGCCTGCTCTATCAGCTTGGTCTCAGACTGAGGGTCGATGCGCCAGAATGAGCCCTTGCCCGGCTCCTCCTGCGACCGTGGCACCTTGATGAAATAGCGATTCAGCGACAGGTTGTGTCGTATCGAGTTCTGCAACATCGTCAACACTTGTTTTACAATCATTTTACAAGTTTCAAGTTTTAAAAATTTCTATTCTGTTATATCATGCCCTTCTAAGCTAAATTTTCAGTTAATTCCTTACTTGTAGTAGGATATTGTGTTGTTGTTTTATCATGAATAAATTGAACATTAAAAGTATTACATGCATGACGAATAGGCCTAAAGCATATTTATACTCTTGGCAGGAATATAAATATTTTAGATTTACTTTTATGGTTATATTTTAAAATTATGTAATTTAAGACTGTTTCAAATTTGCCTTAACAATATATTTTCAACTAAGCTAAAAAATTATTATGTATTATGATTCTAATCATAAGTGACAATGTTCAGACCTGCCAGCCCTTGTCGGCAGTGCGGTAGTACGGGTAGTTCTTGGTGATGTAGCTGTAGATGCCGCTAAGTGTGAGCTGCTTGTCCGTCACACTGGCCACTGCCTGCACTATCAGCTGAGCGTACGAGAAGGGTGGTTTAGTGTCTTCCTGGCCTCCCTCACCTCTCTGTGACACACAATACAAATTAATATCAAGTGCCCAAATGTTTTTAGGATCTTTGCTGGATTTATAAATTTAACGTTTCCCTCCAATTAATAAATTGTTGACAAAACCAACAGTAACAAATATCTGTAAACCTTTTCCGACCCAGCAAACCTGCAGGCTATAGTTATTTGTGCAACTAGTGAGAAAAGTGAGCAATTGACTCACTCGAGAGAAATCCTAACTCACGAGCCGTAGGCGAGTGAGGAATGGTTTCTCGAGTGAGGCAATTGTACTTTGAACTCAAGTTGCACATTATACTTTTCCTACAGTTACCATAAAACAAATAAATTTGTGAAGAAACATAACCTATTTTTACACAGAAGTGAACTTTTAATATAACATTTATTGTGAAGTGACAAATACAACAGTACAACAGCTGACCAGCTGATTTACAGCCAGTGCTGCCAATGTATTTCGCGCGCATACGACGTTGCCTGCATGTTACGCGCTCACTATTTCGTGCCTTCACGTTGCAAATCTGGAGTGAGACAAAGTAATTAGAGTGAGACAATGTTAACATTGTCTCACTGATGAGCGAATTGGCCACTTTGCTTTCTCAAATCAGTGAGAGAACATGTACATTGTTAGGTAACTGTAGGAAAAGTAAATTTCCAATTGCTTGATTGGAAAATATTGATATATGGAAAATATAAATACACAAAATTGTCATATTTATTCCCTATTTAAATGACATTAGGTTTAACCCATTGACGTCGACTTACCGGTCCGGTCTGTCACCGATAGATAGTCGTACTGCTAATCCACTGACCCTCAAGTAGTACATTGAATCTCACCTACGAGCGCTAGTGTCGTCGTGAGCTTATACTGGCAATTGACCTGTTCGGCTGACAGTGGCATGATAGCTAAGTTTGCTAAGGCATCCACTGATGAGTGTCCATTGAGGTCTTTCTACATGCGCGAGTCCAATTATTAATGAGCTTGATAATGTGTTTGGCATAGCCAGAGTGGAGATCCCACCTTAAATAAACAGTGTCCGGCTTGGGTGGAGTAGACGGCATTAGTGAGTTTAATACGGATTGGCAAACAACAACAATTTTGCTTTTTTTTACATTGGTATAGAGGACATAATGAACATTATACTGTTGAAATACATATAATGACAAAAGACATAGTAGTATACAACCTTAACAAATAATAATAGATAATTATTTTTTTATATTTGGTATTTTCTATTCATTTATGGTCATCAATATTTGGGGTTTTGCTACAGGGAAGTTAGTAAGGTGTGTTTTTAGTGAAATGTTAATAGCTTAACTAAATAATAAAATTTTCCAAAATTTTTTTAGCAAACTACAAAAGTTTACCTATTCCTATTTCCTATTATACCTAAGTTACCTATTATAAGAAGAACATAAAAAGTTTAAATTTACACTTTTAGCAAATTTTCCATATAGGAAATAAACTATTAAATTTTCTCTATAACTATTAAGCACACAATACTTCTGAATTATTTGTTTTTAATACAACAAAACAATCAAATAAATTGCAAAATGACATGTTTTGGGGATTAAAAATAAATTTTCACCTCATAAATCCTGTTTCCATAGTCAGATCAATCTGGTTTGCAAATTTGTCTAAAAAAACTTGAGTTTACACAATTGACAAATTTTATTAATGCTAAAGACGTCTTAAGACATCCTAAACTATTAAGCCATCCTGCACAACGGGAATAAACCAAGACCAATGGATCATACTTTCCAGTAATGTAGGGTAAATCAATAATTGTAAATAGGTATCAGCCATTTTACATTAATGCAATCCTAGCAGTCAAAGTAACCTAAACAATATTATTTTACCAGGACTAAGTACAGTTTGGGAGTACTTTATACAGCCTCGTGAACAAGACCCTGGCATAAAATTAGTAAGAGCGTCAATGTACGTCTAGATAAATTGGTTAAAGATAGAAAACTAAAGTAGGTTTAAAAATAAATAGAAGGCCTTTTTGTTATAAAATATGTATTATTCAGTAGACAGCATTATTGATTGACTTTTAGCATTTGTAATTTATTTTTTAAAGTGGTGATGAGGCAAAGGGGATCAAAATATTAACATACATTATTAAATTAAAAACCAAAAACTTTCTTTGATGATTTTTACATTAAAATCATCATGAGAGGTGAAGAGTTATTACCTTGGGCGGGCTGTACGGTTCGTTGATGGGCGGAGGACACCCATTGGTTGATCTAAACAGTTTGTTGTCGCTCTCACTCATTTGGCCTGAACCATCCAGTAGAACCTCCCCACTGAAAACAGTGCAAGTAGAATCATTGCACTCAATATCATTCAAAGTGTTTGTAATCAAATAAAATAAAAAACATTAAAAACTATAAGTGAAACATATTTTACCCATCATAATTATAACTAGTATACATGTTGCTCGAATTTGAGCAATTGCAAAGTATTACAGGATTTATATTATAACGAATAAGAGTCATAATTTCTGATGGTTCAAAAAAGTCAAATCAAACTTGTAAATTTGGTCTAAAAGCGCCGGTCCAATTGGGCCGGCGCGGTTTGACTTCACGTAACTGTTGTACATTTGATTTGATATAAGTTGTAATAGACTGCAAATACACCACTAATAGTAATAATTTACTAAAGCTAAGAAAGTAATTGTTATTTGACCTCAAAATAATTCATAAATATCTTTCCACAATAATTAAATCACATAATATTTGTTATTTTTGGGTGAGATTGAAAAAAACATTTTATTTTTATAAAAATTTATTGACAGAACATTTTTAATTATGTTATAATGAAAATACAAGATTTAAATTTATGGGCAATGCCTTGGAAAATACAAAAATGTATAAGAATAAAAAGTTAAGTAAAAGTCTAAAAGTTTAAAAAAGTCGCTTCACTAATATCCATCTCACTGGACATTGGGAAGTTCAATGCTCTGTCTATCTCACTATAAGATAGATCACTCATAGTGAAAACTAAAAACTAAACTATAATATCACTGAGTCACCCACAAGTAAACAAACGTACGCCATAGATAGCAAGAACTGAGTGAATGTCAAGGTGGGGGATGAAGGGTGGGAGGGGTGGGGTTCAATGATGTGTACAGCACAGAGACGTGTAAGAAACCATATGTTGTAACCAGATTTGGCGGGAAATTACGTTACTGCCAACCGTGCAGAGTGAAATACCCTAAAATACCAAAAGATTACCTGCGGTCCGATCGGACAGGCACTGATTTTTTCTAGCGATATTTTGCTAAAAATTTTCACTGCCGGCCCGATTGTTGTTTGTCCAATTTGACCCGAGTTGTTTGAACCGATTGTCCAAATTTTATTTTTGGTCAAAATTGAATTTTTTTCATGAAAACCTTACTATGATAAATAAGTATAAAAACCATCATTCAGTAGAAAAAAGAACTACATTTCTGTTTGGCACTGCGGTAATCTGGCTAAAAAGTAGCGTGGCACTTAACGTGCTAATGGAACCACTCACGATGTCCATACCAGTTCGATATAATCAACGTTTCTTGTTAATATTTTATAATTTTTCAACAGCTGATATAGTTTTTTAGTGTTTTCTAGGCCTACAAATGTTTCCCGACTTACTCATAACTGCATAAGGTTGTCATGTTTATCCTCGTCATTGATAATATAACCACCATGGTCACCAGTATGTCTACAAATTTCAGTCATTTTTTTTTATCATTTTTTTAACAGCTATAAAATATGTTCACATTACTTAAGAACTACCTGATTTTCTTGCATAACCTGTCTGCCACAATTTTATTTGCTTCAACTGGCATTCTTTTGATTAGTTGCTGTAATAACGTTAATTGTATTTACCCGACATGCAGAGTTAAAAGGCTTAATGTTGTTCAGATAGGTTTTTGTTTCAATGACAGGGGTTTGTTTTTTTAAAGGGGTTTTAGATGTAAATCACTTGACTTTTACGGAAACAGATTTAATGTCCTTGCCAAACCAGTTTCATTTAGCCTTAGAGGGGTTTCCTCTGCAATGATAAAGTCAAGATTCCTCCATCACAAAGTCAGTAAAATTTAATTTTTTGTAGCACGCGTTTCCTTTAATTGCAACTTAAATATTAACAGCAATTAAAGTATCCAGCTGATCATAATGTAAACAGATATGTTCTAAGGAAAACATGAGCACTTAAAAGCCACTGGGGCAGAGTCCAAGGGACTTTTTGAAAAATTTAAGGCCAGTTTGCAAATCTACATGACACGCTCATTCCAATGAAACGTAAATGGTCAAAATAGGTAGAGAAATGGCGGAGGAGTTCAAAGGACAAATTTCGTGTTGGCATATTAATTATATAGATAACCATTTTTATCACAAACATTAGGTACTTTGATTTATTTTGCTCCTCTAACTTGCAGCAGTGTTTACATAGCATTTATAAGTTACAGTAGTCCCTCTTTAATCCGGCACTGCACCACTTTGGCACTCCAGTAATCCGGCGTCTTTTGACAGGAGGTCTTCCGCGATCGCGGCAAAATTCTGATTATCTCCCGCGGCCGTGTAGACATCATAATTCTCTCACGTGGACATGAAAACGTCATCGTCGTCTTGCACGATCGCGGCAAAATCATTAACATCTCCCGCAGTCACGGAAAAGTCATCGTCGTCATGCGCGATCGCAGCAAATTCATGAACATCGCCAGCAGACGTATAGACGTTATCATCGCCTCCCGCGGTCACGGAAACGTCATCGTCGTCAAGCACGATCGCGGCAAAATCAAGAACATCTCCCGCGGTCATGTAGACATTATTGTTGCTTTTCAAAGATTTTATCATCTCCCGCGGCCGTGTAAACATCATTGTCTACTCCCGCATTCCCGGAAATGTCATTGTCGACTTGCGCGATCGCGGCAAAATCATGAACATCTCCCACGGTCACGAAAACGTCATAGTCTTCATGCGCGATGACAGCAATTTTACTATTATCTCCCGCGGACGTGTAGACGTTATCATCGCCTCCCGCGAATGTGTAATTGTCATGCCCGATCGCGGCAATAGCGGTTCCGATCACGCAAACTTCGGAGACGTGTTTTAATTGCATTTTAAGTGTTTTTAATGATAACATTCCAGTAATCCAGCATTTTCACCAATCCGGCAGTATGGCGGTCCTATATCTGCCGGATTACTGAGAGTCTACTGTACAAGGGTTAAAAATCTACTGTTTTTGTAGTTGAAAAATTTTCCCCAGTTACATTAAAAAGTTGTTGAAAATTATGCTTTCTTACAAAATTAGGCCTATTCTAAAAAGTAGTTAGTACAGTTTAGTTCATAAATAACTGGTTAAAAAAATAAAATCAAAAGCAATACCTTATGTTATCATACGGTTCTGAATACCTGGAAATAATGGAAAAGAATATTGTTAGTTAAACCATGAATTTGTACATGAGCAAGTGGTTGCAAATTCAAACCAAGAATAAACATAATATTAAATTTAACAAAACATTTTTAAATGGAACTGAATTTCAAATGAAGTAATATAATTCTTCACGCATATATTTTATGTTTGATTAAGAATTTTGGTCCATTTGAACATAAAAAGCTTTAGAACATTGCTGAGCCTTGTATTCTATGTGATTTTTTAACAACAGGTAATTTCAAAATATTATAATAGACTCTCTGTAGGCGATTTCTCCATCCAGTACTAAACTGACGATATCCTGCAAATGAAGTGTAAAGTCAAATATTTGATAGTGGAAACTTCAATCTTTACCTGTCGTGGGTGTTGCTTGTAGACACAGTGACAGTGTTGACAACAGGACCAGCGACTGCGGCCGCGTATACTGCAGCCATCTGTAGATCAGCAGAGACATTGCGTCTGCCGTGGCCTCCACGAGGACTGGCAGGGCACGAATTGGCAGCACTGGGACACAACACAGACTTTGTCAATTGGACTAAAGTGGGCGGTATTTAATAATTCCCTATTCAGAAAACATTAATTAAACAGCCTAGAAAAAGTATAAAGTATGAAATTACACTTTTATTTCAAAATTAACTCTCCTTTAAGGAGAGTGGTCACAGTATAAAAGCACAGAGTTAGTTATACAGAATACAAATTGTAGCCATGTAGCCTAACATTCTCATTGACTGCAGGGTAAACTGCACAAGTCTGAAGACGATAATGTTTACAAATATTCCAATGTTCTGTGCACCTCTATTTTTAACCAAAATGACACCTAGACCGCCTTCCCATTGGTTTGCAGCCACCAGGTGGCAGCGACCGTCCTGTACAAGTTGCAGCCACGTTTGTCCCTTCACACACAGTGGCTGCCACCCGGTAGCTGTGCCCTCCTACTTTTTAAGTATATGGGAGGACTACAAAGATTCTTAAAAAGTGAGGTAGCCTAATATTTTGATAGCTTTTGAAAGTGTATGCAGTTGCTTAATGGAAAATGTCATGCTATTTACATTGGTCTATTACATGTTCCTAAATTTATATAAGCTTACATTTGGAAGAAATATAGAAAATTCTACAATTTTAATAGTGATCGACCTCAAAACTAACACAATATTAATCAGGGTGTCCACAGAAAATTTGTCATAAATTTCCAAGACTTTCCATGACCATTTACCATCGATTTCCATGACTCACGAACTTTACTCAAATTATAATATAACATACACACACAAATAAAACTGCCTAGATTTCGCAGAAACTACTGAAATATGTATTAACAGACAACAATGGAGTACAATGGTACAACAATGAACTAATACAAACTCAAAAATCATAAAATAATACAACTGTAATAAATTGAATCGTCGAAAATTTGTGAAAAATCCTGAAAAATGCTACAGTAGTCGGAGTTACGGCGGACTAGAGCATTGAATAGTTCCCTCAAATCATCCATCATGGGGAATTTCCATGACCTTTTGCCTATTTCCATGACTTTCAATGACCAGAATTTTTGTCCATGACTTTCCATGACTATCCCTGACTTTCCAGAATATGGACACCCTGTTAATGGAAAACTTTCACCACATTGATAGTGACAATAGGTAGTGAACAATAGATTCTATCAATCAGACAACGTTTTCAGTTGTTTCGGCCACTTTTTTGATTGATGTGACTGTAGGCTGATGTGACTGTAGGCCTACTAAACGTACCACATGTCTCATATTGGCAACAATGTTTACAAACAACGTTGACTCTCTCTGTCTGTTTACATATACCACATGTAGCATGTTACATTCTCACAATAACCAGATGATATAGTAACTGTCACTAACAAGAGAATACAGAGACTCTGCACAACTTCAAATGCAGAATTTTTAATAACATTAAATTACACCATAAAATTTACAAAGGAGATTACAAAAAATATGGCACATGCACGATAGAAATTTGTTCTAATCTAAATGACATGGAAAAAGGTCAAAACGATTCAATATTTTTAGAAAATATGATTGAGTTAACGGGAGTACAGGGTTTAATGCATTTCTGTTTTAGACACTTCCACTATTGTCTTATTTGATTGAGAAATGCCTTCTTTACCTTGATACTACGAGAAGCTTTATTCTTCAGTGGTTGTAGTTTTTAGAAACTTGAGTCTAGTCAAAATTAAAAAGACAAAAGAAACATAGTAATGAATCCGTATGTACTGATTGGTGGTAAGTTTGGCAAGCTTTTATGATCAATAGGCTAGGCCATTTATGAAAAATTGGTGTTACCACAACATAAAATCTATTTGTCCAGGTGGCAGTTTGAGGGATTGGGTATTGTTCCACCTGATGATGCTATGTGGTAAATGAACACGCATGGTAAAGACCTGTTGACATGCTGTGTATACAGTAGGCCTACCTGATGGTGCCAGTGGGGGAGGGAAAGGGGCTTGTGAAGGTGGTGTCGGCCGGCTCAGGAATGTTGATGCGCAGAGGTGGCAGTGGAGGCCGAGAAGTGGACTTGGTCGCCAACTGTAGCGGAGGATCTGTCTCGTCTACCAGGGACTGGAACACCAGCCGTATGTTGGTGCTGGGGAACCGGAACGTGCATCTGTAAAGCACAACACACCAGGATAGGTTACAAGTCACCAAATATCTTCCTACTACACACTCCAGTAGTAAAGCCCGCCAATCACTAATGGATCTATCTAGGTAATAATGTCAGGACCCTTAAGAACTGATGTTATGTGTGAATTGGTTCTGAACTAAGATGTGAAAATGGGACACGGAAAAAACTACACTCCGCATTCACTGTGCAGTAGCCTACACTGTGACCATAAGCCATCCATTTCAAATGGCAGTTTCAGCGTCATTAGTCGCCCTAACAATCAGGACCTTATGTCTTATTAGACCTATATGGTATTGCACACTTGCACAGTGAACGTGGAATTGAGTATAGGGCAAGATTCATACCGCATGGTTCTTCATAGTTTATTAGGCAATCATAATTAATTTGATTAATTTACTCAGGTTTTTTTGACTCATGGATAAATTCCAACTTACTATCATCAAAAAGTAACCATTATTCAGGAGTAAATTAGACCCAAAATAATTCTCAATCCTAGCTGACATTTTACACTCCTGTACAGACTGTAGCAAACTAAATTGTAAAAATAGTCATCTAGTTACTATTATTATTACTAATAACTATTCAAACTACCTACCCAAAAGAAATTTTTAAATTTATTTTAAGTATTAAAGCCATCCTCTTGGTTAGTGTTTTGAATAAAAATACCAAATCCAATATTGGTGAAACCCCATACTCAGTTTGTAATAAAAACTAAAGCAAAGTTCGGTCGAGATGCCTTAACTTATCAAGTCTCAATCCGACTTGAAAATTCTGCCTCATTTACATTTCTGAATATTCAAAACTGTAAAATCTCAAAATACGTACAATTTACCAAGGTACGATAAAAGATAAAGAAAAGATAAATTCTGGAATAACATTCTTTTAGGTTTGTACAAATATTGTTCTCAAATAAGAGGTCATTTCCTCTGGCCTGATAAGCAAACTTCATAGCTGCTGCTCAAGTTGAACTAAAATAATAAGTTCACGCTAAGTGTTTGAGGTAGCAGATTCCAAATATGAAACTTTTACTCTACGCTAACTGATAACGAGTTTGAAGCCCAGACAGAAGTAAAAGTAATCACAGCTATGATCGTTCCTTGACCTTCAAACGATCAAGTTCAATCTTAATCAAACAAGATGAACTAGTCAACAATGTTACCGACTCAGAAAAAAATCTCACTGAGAATAATTTTAGAAATCCCAATAGGATTTAGCTAGAATAAAAACATATTTATTTATAGTGTTAAATACTTAGTAAAAATTCTATAACTAAAGTAGATTAATTAATTATTATCAGTTATTTGTTGCTCAGTGTGCCCAATAAGCTGTTTACATGGTACGTCAGTTTGTGTCAACATTAGGCAATTGTTTAGTAATTTCTTACAGCTTGGTCCATATATTGTTGTACTTAGGCCTATATTGTTACTCACAATATACATAGTGAATATAAACATTATATGTAGAACACCATAAATAATAAATGGAATTTTAAATTTTTCACATAAAAACACAACCCTATTCTTTAATATTAGTTTGTAAGAAATAAAGATAAATTAACACACCTGATTACATTCAATAGACATATTGATTAAATTTTAGAGGCATTCTGAATAGAACTCACTTAAAATCCTTTCACCAACCAATTTACAAATTATCTAATAGAAAAAAACCTTCCATCACACTTTTTTCAATAAAATGATCAAGTTGATGCATTTGATTTAAAACTTTTAGTCTGAGTAAACATGTTACTGACACAATTCCAAATGGCAAAAATTAGTATTGTGATGTGTGTTACATGGGCTTATCACTTGACAACAACACCACGACCTTGTCACCACGACAAGGTGTTTGTCTACGGATTACTGAGCACAATCTACATCTGGATCTGCCAATGGCCAGTCACAAGTAGTGTGTGTGGAGGGGGAATTGGAGTTGGTAAAGAAAAAACTGTAAAATTTTACTATATAATATTGCGAGTTTCACATCTGTATTCGAGTTTCTTGATTCTGCTAAAAGTACACGGGATGAAAGATCTAAAGCTTGTTTTACAAAGACATTTGTAGAGCATAACCTATACAAATTTTTTTTTAACTTGAATTATTCCCGAGTGCAGAGTGCCACTAGCGTTGTATACTGTTTGAAAATTTTAGTATTCAGTATTTTTCTTAACATTATTGTACAGTATAAGCCTACTTTGTATGGAATTTTGATCTCTGTAACTAAAATATAGACAGCCAAAATACATAGTTTAGAGGATTTTTTATACATTTGACGATGATGCAGTAGACAATTCAGATACCTTATTTTCAAATGGTCATCAAGGGATATTCATAACTTGAAATGTTAAGCACAGTGATGGTGAAATTATTTTTACCATGGTAACTCTATGTTTATGCTTTAGAGGTGAGCGAGGCAGCTGGTGAAAATAATTGTTTAAGATACAAATAAAATGGTTTAGTTTTCGATATAGTGATGATTTTTTTTTCAAATTAAAGAATGAATTTTACACTGAGTGTTATAAAGTTTCTTAACTGATGGACTCAAGTGGTTGTTTTATAATTATAATCACTAAGGATTAACCAAGATCTTCCATTGACCAAGGTTCCCAATCATCTTGTAGTAATCTAATTTAATGGCGCTAGCTTGGTTTTTCATGGTGATCCCTTGCAGAATTAAATGGTTTAAGTTACCAGTTGATCGGTGATCCTAATGTTGTCTATGGCAACCGGTTTCAAGATTAAAATCTAATCATCGCTTCTTCATATGTCATTTCACTCTAAAGTTGAGGTCATCGGTGAGCACATAAAAATGGACAAAAACATGCAACACGAAAACACGGGACATTACTTCACGAATATTTACTAGTGGCTAGTATAGGACAACACAACTGGCATCCGGGTAGATATACATGGTCATGAGTTCACAGACAGGAAACTTAAACCATTTAATAGAAATTTAATAATTACAAAAAATGAAAGTAACTGGATGAGTATGTTTAACACAATACTTTTGAGACATTTTTATTATTTAATAATAACCTACTTTTTTTACTTAGGGAGGTTGTTGTAGGGGGATTGTTTTCCCATTCATTCAAACCTGTTCTAATCCAAAATACTAGGCCTATAGCCTAAATAAAAACCTGTTTCTCCAGACATTGTTTGACTTTAAACCGAGTCAACTTCTTACAAAATTGTTTAACTCGAGGAAACATCCAAACACGTTAAAAATAATATCATTAAGTTTTAGATACTGAGGGTGGCGTCACATCTACAGTAAAAAGACTAGCAATCACTAAATTTTAATCAGGATATAGGATATAGTTGGATGAGCTGCTTGTGTTGTACTACGGGTACAGTAGAAATCCTATTTTCTCTTATCCAGCTGTTATTCTCAGATAATAAATGTGACATACCGGTACTATGTTATATAGTTAATCATGTCTTTTCTGTTTGTCTCCCTTAAACAGTTGGTGTATAAACTGATATAGTAATCAACAACAGCACAAACTGAAAGTATTCTAAAACAGGCTACACCCATTGACTACTGGATACTGAAGTTGTATTAATAGTCAAAGCAACAGCTTTACAAATGAATTAAATCTGGTTCTCCCCACAATACAAGGTAATATTTTCAACTGTGCTGTAAATAAACTTTCGGCTAGTAATATTATACTATTCCTCTAAAATATCTCTGTGAATGTAGTTTATTGATTTGTTATTGAGTGTGGATGGTTGTACTCCATAGGTTTTTTGAGTTGACACGAGGTTTGTATATTGCAGGTTATACAATAGTTAGTTGTTTGTCAGTTATCAGTTGTTGGGGAGCGTGATGGCGTGAGTCACTTTGTTTATACTCTCGTCTAAACGCTCGGCTTACTTTGTGTCAATCGTGGTTGAATTTCCTAAAGATAATTCTGACTTAACACAATAATTGTAACTCAACACAAATACTGCTGGTAGTTAAATAGAGGGAATTCAACAGAATAAACAAAAATAAAGATATTTCAAATGTAACAAATCTAATCTTAAAACTCTTGCCCAAGCATAGGAGTTTCATAGGTTTGGTTATGAAATTTTAAAATGTGTTAATTATTGTAAATCTTAACTTTGGATATTTTTATCAAGCTGGAGTATCTTAGATTATACAATTTTACTGAACAACAATAGTGAGAAAAAATTTGGAAACTGTCCTTGGCATTTTATCTGTTAATGTTATTCACTAGTAAGAGTGTTTACGTTGCAATACACTGGTTTGGCACACCATTACAATTGATAAGAATTAAACAACGACACAGTGGCTGACAGAGAATGATGTCACTCAATTCAGTTTAATATTTCAGGCGTGTTTAGTACCTATTCAGCATCATTTTAGTTGCCATATGGCTCTTAAGTAGACATATTAAAATCATTATTAAATTAACGAAGGGAATGTTCTAAGAAAGCAGGATTTAAATTATTATTACTATGCAATTTAAACAAAAAGATTGTTTCTGGATGCACAGTGATGTTAAAAACCTTTTCAGCTTAGTTGTACAGACTACGATTAAAAAAACTATTGACATGTAAGGTAAATTCTTGAGTATAAAATATAAAGATAGGACCCTATGTTTTGCTTTTTTATTTACTCGATACAGTTTACACTAAGCCCGATAAGGGATGAAAATGAAAAATAAACGTTTTTTTTAATCACATAGTATACTAGCCTTGGTGCTTGGCAAGATCAAAACCTGGGATTCCAGAACAGGTGTTTTGCCCTCTACCACTAAACCAGACGTGAACCCTATCAAATGGACATAATCATAGGTAATAATAGTTAAATATTTCAATAGGTTGACTCGTCTTTTCACAGTGTTTGCGGTACCTACCTACTAAGCTGAGGTCCATGATAAATGAAATTTGAATATGCTAATCTTATCAGAGGAACGAAAATAAGGCAAGGTAAGAAAAAAAGGGTCAGTGAACCAAGGTATAGCCCAAATAAAC